AACTCTGAGTTTTAAACCATGAGTGATGTAGGGGCATTTCCTGTTGAAGTATCAGCCTCCTCAATCAGCTGATTGGTCCATGTGTGAGCTGACCGCCTATATGGTGGGCAGTTCCAGAACTTTCCAGAGAATCTTTTGTTCTCTTTGTGAAAAAGGAAAGGGGGGTGGTTTTAGATGGCTGTCTTTTGGCAATATATCCCAACAAAGGCATGCCTGTAATCTATGTAATGGGTTAGCTTAATCTGGATTTATAGACAAATATAGCTGGGATATCCTGTCCAGGGGTGATGCTGAGTGTGGTGGGTCCCTCTACCTCCACTACAAAGTTTATTTAATTTAATAGTTCTGCAAATGCAGATCAGCTGGAGGTAGAAACATCCAGGAACAAACCACTTTCCCAAGAACTGAGGGGGGAATTTTGTTTAAGTTTACTTTAGTTATTTTGTCACCTTAATCAAGTCAGAGTCGTTTAATTTGTTTTAGTTTTTTATGGACTTTCTTTTTTTATTTATTGTTTATCTGTTATATTGCGCCTCCCTCATGTGGAAACTTTGTTATTCCACCCCCATTTAGGCTGCCGCTGTTCTTTATCATGAGTTCAGTTTTTTGTTTGACTTACTTCCTTTTTACTTGACCTCAGTTGAATTGGGCCGAAATCCGTGTTATTTATTATTTAAGCTCTTCACACTGAGCATTTGCTACATCATATTGTAATTCTTTACTATGAGTAACTCCACAAATTACAGTTACAAGCCTTCAGCTGATCCAAAGTGCTGCTGCCAGAGTTCTGATGAAAATTCTATGCTAGCTTCTCATCATTGGCTTACTGTTAAATCAAGAATCTTTTAGTTATCAGGCTCCTCTACTGTGGAACCAACTACCAGTTTTAGTCTGCGAGGCAGTAACCCCATCTACTTTTAAGACTAGGCTTAAAACTTTCCTTTTTGATAAAGCTTATAGTTAGAGTGGCTCAGGATATCCTGAGCTATCTCTATAGTTATGCTTCTATAGGCTTAGACTGATGGAGGACCCCTTTTTCATCATTCTGCTTCATTCTGTCTCTATTCTCCCACTGCAGAATTTGTTAGTTCGACCTCTGACACTATGCTCTCTGCTTTTTCTCATCTGGGCTGTTCCTGTTGGGCTGTGCCATCCTGGAGAGAAATATCAGCTGTGATGCTGCTATTAACACCTTTGTTTATAGATGTTGGAGATTGCCCTGTTTTTCAGTGTAGTCCTGTTTCTCTGACTGACTGGTTAGATTTGCTCTCTTCCATCCTCTGACATGGGAGTTGGCTCGGATCTCGTATGCCTCGCTGCGTGATTCCTGGACGGTGCCCCCCTATGGAGCTGGTTTACAGTTGCCTTTTGTATTTCTGCTTCTTTTTCTACGTCTGCTTCTTTCTCCTTGAAAGTCGGGCTTGGCAGATGGCCGCTAACATTGAGTATCTTTCTGCTGGCAGTTTCTTGCTGTTAAAAGGGAGTTTTTCCTCTGTACTGTCACTACAAGCATTCCAGTCAATGAGTCGATGCAATCAACTGGTTTTCCTTAGATAGAAAACTTTGAATCAGTATGACTGTATGATCTGGTTGAATTGTAAAGCGCATTGACATGACATGTTGTGAATTGACGCTATATAAATAAACTGAATTTAATTAAATATGGCTTAAACATTTCTGTCTTAAAAAAATTATAAAATAAAAGTATCTCATCATGTAATACACTTTAAGTTCAAATTTTAGCATTAACCTCATTAAAACCACCGGGTTGCCAGTGACACGGTGGATGTTAAGTGGGGTAATAACTCAGAATGCATAAAATTCAACTGGTAAAATTTTTACCAATATAGACATGTTGGACATCATTGGAAAGCTTAGATTCTCTGCTATTCATTTTATGGACACAGCGAACACCAAGGCACAAAACAGATGTAGCAGCATGTCAAAATGTTAACAAAGCAGCCATAACCACATACCTTTGTAGGCAAAGAAGTAATTTTATAAATCCAATCTTCAATTGTTAATGCTCCATTCATCCATAAGGGAAAACAGATTAAAAGTACTCCATTATATTAGTAATTAAAATATTCCATAATGGCAAAATCTCCTATAATAATAATTCTACCGATAGGGAGCATATATATAGTAAAGAGAACGGTCCTAGCACTGATCCCACATGTAACCCAGGAGCATGAGGACGATTTATCTTTAACGTGAACAAACTGAAATTGATCAGATAAGATTTAAACCAGTCTAGCGCTGTTCCTTTAATTCCTACAAAATGTTCAAGTCTTTCTAAGAGAATATTATGATCAACTGTATCAAATGCAGCACTGAGATCTAACAGGACACATACAGATACAAGTCCATTATCTGAGGCCATGAAAATATCAGTTGTGACAATTCATGATGGATCCTACCCTTATACTATTGGATCTTGGAATACTCGTCATCAGTATTCCAAGGAGAATCGTTAATGGGTTTTAGCTTCAGACAATCCCTAATAACCTGCTATTTTATTTTACAGAATCAACACACATTCCTCTCTACAGGATACCATCAGGAAATTGATCACTCAGAAAATGTTCTTTCCACCAATATGCTAATGTGTGATGATATTTTATTTGTAAACTCCTGGACAGAGCAGAGATAGCAGCGAGACTCAAGGAAAAGCTCAAATTAAAAAATCATTATTAATATAGTTCAACCATTAGAGCCGTCCTTTATGCCGTCTATTGGAGTTTCTTTAATTGGTCTGGTCAAATTAGTTTTTCTTTTCTTCAGAGCATCTTCAGTTGGTTTGGTCAAATGTCTTTTTCTTCTGCAGTGAAATCAAGTATCCTCCTCTTGAGTGATACAGCTGAGTTACTTTGCTCTTCTGTGATGGGGAACCCAGATAAGTTATCAGATGAACAGAACTTGGCTGTTTTGACGTGTCCAGAAAGGGATACTGCATTTCCATGTAAGGGACTGAAGGTGATCACCTCATTATCCAGGCCTTGCAGGCCTTTCTGCCTTCAGAACAGTCTAGACTGATCAATACCTGAATTCTTCTTTCACTGTGATCTTTTTATAACTGTTCTCGCTTCATTTTATGATTTAAATAATTTTTACAGGAAAAAACAGCAAAGCCCTTTTGTCCTGGTGATTGCAACATTTTAGGAAAAAATTAGGATGCTGCTCCAAAAGGCTTTGTCATTTAGACCTGTTTTTCTCTTTCTTGCCATACTGGGTCTTTTTGATACCATAGAAGAGAGAAATTTCATTAGAACATTTTTGGAAATCTGCTCAACCTCTGACACATTGAGCTGGGGTATCTCTCTTCCAGGCAGAGGTGTATAGCAAGCACTGCTGAGTTTAGGGTGTCTCACTACTAGGGGTGGGTATTGGCAAAGAAGTGATGATTCAATTCGAATCACGATTCACATGCCACGATGCGATTCTATCACGATGCATCATGATACTTGAAATATTGCGATGCATTGCGATGCATCGCAATATTTTCACTGAACACTGTAAGAAAAAGATACAGCCCTTACCAGTGGCTGACTGGCTGGGTATGATCTGGATAGTGTCTTCAATTGATACATAACTGAAAGCAACTGAATTCATACATAGCTGTATTTATTGAAATGACTTTTGGAGGTGTTGCCATGAAAACAAATACTGGACAGAAATATTACTATTACTGGCATGGACACACTGACAAAAAGATCTTAGGATTCATTAAACTTAAAATAACAAAATAAGGATAATCAGTGCCGTTTACATGGCCTCAGTGGTCCTTTAAACTAATGAAATGAAAACATTCAAATGTTTGAAATTTTCCCTTTTGCAAATGACGTGCGTCATATCAATTTCATTTTTACCTTCTTTGTTTTTAAAGCCAAAATGCATCCAAGCATCTGACTTGAAATGTGATGGAACCGCGGGGCGAATTTTCATAGCGTCCTCCATGTTTTATTTCATATGATTCGTTGCAGTATCCCACGGCCGGACACGCTTGTGACAAAAAGCAGTGGGCTTCAACACATCCGCAGCCAAGTCTGCTGGACTGGAAGTTGTATTCCACTTGGTTTGGCTGATGTGCGCCAACCATTCATGTATTTCATTTGTTGATTTCTTTTTATTTTTTATAATCGATTATTGCCTTCAAGAATCAATGCAGTAGATCACAAAAATTAGAATCGCGATGCATCGATATCATGATTAATTTGCACACCCTTACTCACTACTTCCTCGTTTGTCAGACAGTCACTGTGATATTGGATGTGAATGCTTTACTTTCCTTAATAATTGTGGGGAAATAAATTTAGGCGAGAATGAACTTCATATCTCCAGGTTGCTTGATAGGATCCACTCGCTCCTCAACCTCAAGGAGAGAGTTTGGTGCTTTTATGTGAGGTGTCCTTTATTTAACCAATTGAATGCCTTTTTGCTGTGTTTGTCTTTCCAGACCGCCTGCAGGATTATGTTGGAAAAGAGGAGGATCTCTCTGACCAGCAGCTCTGTGGACAGGAGAGGAAATCCAGTTTGGACCAAGAAGAGTCGGAACATCCGCAGATAAAAGAAGAGCATCAAAAGCTAGAGCATGCATTTTTGGACATCTGCTCAACCTCTGACACATTGAGCTGGGGTATGTGTCTTCCAGGCAGAGATATACAGGAGGCACTGCTGAGTTTAGGGCGTCTCATTACTTCCTCATTTGCCAGACAGTCACTGTGGTGTTTGATGTAAATTCTTTACTTTCCTTAATAATTGTTTTTGGGGAAATAAATTTAGGCAAGAATAAACTTCATATCTTCAGGTTCCTTGATAGGATCCACTCGCTCCTCAACCTCAAGGAAAGAGTTTGGTGCTTTTATGTGAGGTGTCCTTTATTTAACCACCAATAGAACGCCTTTTTACTGTGTTTGTCTTTCCAGACCGCATGCAGGATTATGCTGGAAAAGAGGAGGATTTCTCTGAACAGCAGCTCTGTGGACAGGTGAGGAAATCCAGTTTGGACCAAGAGGAGTCGGAACATCTGCAGATAAAAGAAGAGCGTCAAAAGCCAGAACATCCCTGGACAAAAGAGGAAACCATGGAGCTCCCCATAAGTGAGCAGCAAGAGCAGCTTGTTCTGAAGCACAAGATTAAAGATACAAGAGAGAAACCTTTCCCATGTTTGACATTTGGGGAAAGCCTTCTTAAAAAAGAGAATTTAATGGTTCACAAGAGAACTCACACATGTCAGAAGTTTTATTGTCTGTCCTGTGGAAAATCTTTCAGAAAGAAATCTAGTCTGGATACACATATGATAAATCACACAGCTGAGAAGCCTTTTGAATGTCAGAAATCTCATCTTGATAAACAAATCGGAATTCACACTGGTGAGAAGCCTTTTGAATGTCTGTCCTGTGGAAAAAGCTTCACTAACAAATTTAATCTTGATAAACACATCAGAATTCACACTGGTGAGAAGCCTTTTTCCTGCACTATTTGTAACAACAAATTTAATCAAAAGAGTCATTTGATTTCTCACATGAGAATTCACACTGGTGAGAAGCCTTTTGAATGTCTGTCCTGTGGAAAAAGCTTCCCTAACAAATATTGTCTTGATACACACATCAGAATTCACACTGGTGAGAAGCCTTTTGAATGTCTGTCCTGTGGAAAAATCTTCACTAACAAATTTAATCTTGATAAACACATCAGAATTCACACAGGTGAAAAACCTTTTTTCTGTACCATTTGTAGCAAGAATTTTACTGAAAAGGGTAGTTTGACTTCTCACATGAGAATTCACACTGGTGTGAAGCCTTTTCAATGTCTGTCCTGTGGAAAAAGCTTCACTCAGAAATCTGATCTTAATAAACACATCAGAATTCACACAGGTGAAAAACCTTTTTTCTGTACCATTTGTAACAAGAATTTTACTGGAAAAGGTAGTTTGACTTCTCACATGAGAATTCACACAGGTGTGAAGCCTTTTGAATGTCTGTCCTGTGGGAAACGCTTCACTAACAAATCTAATCTTGATGCACATATCAGAATTCACACTGGTGTGAAGCCTTTTGAATGTCGGTCCTGTGGGAAATGTTTCACTAAGAAATCTCATCTTGATACACATATCAGAATTCACACTGGTGTGAAGCCTTTTGAATGTCTGTCCTGTGGGAAACGCTTCACTAACAAAGTACATCTTGATAGACATATCAGAATTCACAGTGGTGTGAAGCCTTTTTCCTGTACCATTTGTAACAATACATTTAATCGAAAGAGTAGTTTGACTACTCACATGAGAAACCACACAGGTGTGAAGCCTTTTGAATGTCTGTCCTGTAGAAAAAGCTTCACTAACAAATCTCATCTTGATAGACACATCAGAATTCACAGTGGTGAGAAGCCTTTTTCCTGTACCATTTGTAACAATAAATTTACTCAAAAGAGTAATTTGACTTCTCACATGAGAACTCACACAGGTGAGAAGCCTTTTGAATGTCTGTCCTGTGGAAAAAGCTTCACTAAGAAATCACATCTTGATAGACACATCAGAATTCACACTGGTGAGAAGCCTTTTTCCTGTACCATTTGTAACAATAAATTTACTCAAAAGGGTAGTTTGACTTCTCACATGAGAATTCACACTGGTGAGAAGCCTTTTGAATAAGTCATTGCAGTTAGATGCCACAGGAATGAACAGTAGAGGTGTTTACCATGTTTGACTGGTGATAAAATGTCCATCTAGAAACTCCTTCACCTCATTACATGAGAAACTCACGGGTTAATGTCTTTTTTGAGGCAAGTTTTGAGATTAATTAACAACTGTGTTTACATAGAAACCAGAACTGATAAGGTGTTATATAGTAAATCTGGTAAATACTCAGGTCCTGGGTGAATATTTGGAAGTGAACATTTGAAAGTGAATTATTTTGGAACTGAGTAAATTAGAATTAAATGGCCAAAAAGTTTTGCCCTAACAAAAAAAAAAAAAAAAAGTTATGATTTCTTAATTTTTCTCTAATGAGGAGAATAAACATAATAAAGTGCAATGAAAACATCTTGCATACAGATTAAGCACGTTTGCTGTCCATAGAACAAGCAATTGATAAGTTATAGATGTCTAAATTGAAAAAAAAAAAAATCAAGGCAGACCCATACTGTGCAATGTTGGCATGGTGTTGCACATCTTTTTCTGAATGAATTTATTAAGAAAAAAACCCTCCAGTTTTAGTTTTTACTTCAAATTTTAGTTGAATGATAAGCTATCGGTTGGATATATTCCAGAAACAGACTTTTATTCAGATGAAAATATCCTCAGATGAAAATAAAAGCAAAGCTCGGACAGATTTAATGTGCTTTGCTCAGTGTTGCTGATGTTTTTGGAGGATTTTCTAAGAGATCAGCTGCAAATGATCAGAGTTTAGCTAATTCAGTGTCTTGTTGGCTTTCATTAGCAATGCATCAATCAGCCCTGCTACGTGTGTTGTTGAAACCAGGCCCACCAACACTCCAACTGTTTTTGACACAGTGTTAGAGCTATGGTCAATGGATATTAGAATCAAGTAGATCATCTATAGAAGAGTCTCAGATGAAGATTTGGGACATATAGAAGTGTGTGTCAGTCTCAGAGTTAGTCAGCTACAAGCTAATTAATGTTGCAAAGTAGCTCCAACCACCTTGAAAGGGGGTGCTGGGATTATGGGGTTAAACTACGGGACATCAAAGAACTCCGTTTAGAGGCTGGAGTCTGTAGTTCAGGTAAATTAAAGTCCTAAAATGATGAAACATGTTTGTTTAAAAAGATAAACAGGATTGATGATGTTGCTGTTATTTTTACTGATCAGTTTGAACCTGCTTTAACTTGGTAAAAAGCCTTTGTCTTAATAATATATTAAAGAAATCTGACTCTCCTCTAGAAGTGTGAAGTTTCTGCTTTTTAAAGATTTTTTTGGTAGTATAATTTTCCTTTGAACTAATTCTAATAGTTTTGTTCTTGATTCTGTAGATGTTCTATTTACCTGCTATGATTGAAAGTAACTCTCGCCTATTTTATACAACTGATTTTATGGATTATATTCTGCTGTGGATGTTTTTAATTATTGTAATCACTTCTAAATTGATGACCGAGCAGCAATAAAAACCTATTGGTTTGTAAAAATGTGTTTTTTTTATATGGTTTCAAATAAATTACAATATTTTTCCATGTTTTCTCTGATATTTTCAGCCAAACTAAGCTGTAAAATAAATAGTTTAATGGCATTCACCTTCTGTCTTCTCCAGTCTTTCCTGTTGCTCCTCTGTCAGCATTAATCTTTTTTGCCTTTTAGAGCCTGAGTGTGTTTAAATCTGGCTATTGGATAAATCCTCCTTTGCTTGTTGGAGAACTTAGATCAGGAAATAATATAGGTACGTATTCTGGCCCAGTTGGTTTGGCACCTGATAAAACAAGTGTTTCAGTTGCTATAACTGTGTGTCCAGAGCCGCTACAACCAAGCAACTAGAGGAATGAAGGATCTAACTGTGGCTATGTTCACAATGCAGCCTGAAGGGAACCGGATGTGATTTAATTTTATTTGTTTTTTTTATTTGCCAATATGTAATCTGTACCTGATGTTTTCATTACAGTCTGAACAATAAAAATCTGATTTTGCAACAATAGTTCTGGACCATTTATAGAAAAAGTGACAGTGTCAGAGGTTTTTGATGAACAACCTGTACAACACAATTTGTGTAGTTGTACACAAAAATGAAAAATAACTACCTGTTTTTCTATTATTCTACAATTCAAAACTTAATGTAGCTCTGCAACTTCAAATTCACACTCATCTTCATAGCAAGAATCCTCACGCTGCAGCTTTTTCCTGACAGCGTGAGCAGGTTAATATCTGTCTGCATACACCGCAGTAATTATTACCAATCACATGTGGTCCCTATGAGGTAAAATTCAAGTCTTAAGAAACCTCACCATTAAGCCTCAATTTTTCTTTCTGCTGTTTTTCAATATGAAAGCAATCTGAAGAGTTCTCAGCCTCCTGGATCCAGCAAATGAAGGTCCCCTGGACTTTGTCTAGAAAGAAGTTATCTGAGATTTTAATTCCTCAAGTTGAAGCTGCTCCTCAGATGATAGAATTAATTTCCTACATAATTGTTGATATAAATCAGTTGTGATTGTTTTTTTGCCTCGATTTTATAAACCAGTTTACTAGACTGCAACTTTCTTAGCACTAAATGTGAGCTATTCCTATTACCTCAAAGGTGAAAGTTCCATCAATGAAATATTCTTAATGAGGTTACTAATTTCTGTGCAGAAATCCCTATTATGTCAGAGGTTAGTTCAATTACCAAATAAAGGATGATGGTGATTTACATTTAGTCAAAGAGAGAACAAAAGTAACAGCAATGATCAGTTAAAGGGGATGGTGATATTTTACCACACAATGTTGCGCAGATCTGCTTATTAGTTCAGATGGGGGTGCATGAACAGACATTTGTGTGTGCACATACACACACAAACATTTCAGTGTGCCACTCTGCAGCACTTCTCAGCAGGTGAAAGAAATCTGGCCCAATCAGCAATGAACCGGAGACCTCCAAAACGTCCCGAATTAGGTAGATATTATCTACCATGGACCTGCCGGGGACGCAGTAGGTCTGGTCCCGGTGGACGACCTGCTCCATAGCTTCCCTCAGCCGGGTAGCCAAGGCTTTGGAGAGGATCTTATAGTCGGTGCAGAGGAGAGACACAGGGCGCCAGTTCCTGATGTCCTGCAGATTCCCTTTCTTGGGCAGGAGGGCGATGACTGCCCTGCGACACGAAAGTGGGAGCGAACCTGCGGCCAGACTCTCATTGTAGACATCCAGCAGGTCCTCTGCCAAGATGTCCCAGTAGGCTTTGAAGAACTCTACAGTAAGACCGTTGATGCCTGGGGCCTTCTGGCCCTGCATACTCAGGAGGGCTGTGCAGAGCTCCTAAAGTAGGGTGACCATATTTTCATTAGGGAAAACCAGGACACCTTGGAGCGGGGTGGGGGGTGGGGGGGAGTGGTTGATTGAAAGAACAAATGTCTCATCATCGGGATCCGTGATCAGAGGAAATGTTACTTGCCGCAGAACTGTGGTGAAAATTGGAAGTTCAGTTTAATATAATACAACTCTGTGTATAGTTCCGTCTGAAATGAATGAAAATAGTTTTTTTAATGGTTATTGAGTCAGATATGTGGCGGTAATGTTTGATTTATCTAAAGGTTTTTATCTGTTACTGTGTAAATGGGTTTGGCTGGAATTTAAGGACAGATTCTAATATATTTGCAGGGTGGGGACTATAAATCTGATAGGAGTTTAATTTTTTTATTGTTGTTTTGCACAATATGCTTAACTAAGTATTTTTTGTTGTTGAATAATAGAGATTTTGCAGATATATTTTGTAGATACATTGTTTAGATTTACTTATATATTTCTAACCCTTTTATAGAATAGAATAGAAAATCCCTTTATTGTCCCACAATGGGCAAATTTACAGCAGCAGAAAGATTATTGACCTTAGAAAAATTTATAAGAATAACATAATAGGGAAGAGTTAAAATATACAAAATAAAATTCTGTAAAGTGTTTTAACAGTATAAAACTGGAGAATTAATAACCAATATGCAGCTATGGACATTTTTACAGTGATGGATATTTGAAAATAGCAGCAACATCAGAGATGTGCAGAATGACAGGAGCAGGTTATTTAACTGACTATAAATAAATAAACAAACAGTTTTGAAAACTTCTGTATTCATTCTTTTCCTGCTTTGTGTGTCAACTTTCACGGTTGCTAAGCAACAGAGCATACGCCGTCGAAGGGTAGACCTGGTCGAATTCACAGCCAAAACTCTTCCGGCCTCCTTATTGTCAAGGACTTTAAAGGTTCCAGTCTAGGTAGACCGCGTCCTTGGAGGATGCAGCCCAGGTTTTCGAACAGATCCTCTGATTAAGAGCAGGGCTGCCCGCACTGACGGGGCTCAGGGATTACGTCACACGCAGCGTCGTGCGCAGTGAAATCAGGACATTTCCTCACTTTCTAAAAAAAAACCGGGACGCCCGGAACAGGACGTGAAATACGGATATGTCCCGGGAAATACGGACGTTTGGTCACCCTATCCTAAAGTCCCAGCGGGCGCGCCAGCCGTAGGTTATTCTCACCCGACACCTGAAGCAGCCCACCGCAGAACTCCTCTAGGAGCCCCTCGTTCTCCTTATACTCACTCTCGAACAGAGAGGAGTAAAACTCAACAGCCCTCCTCCTAATCTGGCCCGGTTTACTCAGCTGCTGCCCTGTGTTGGACAGTAAGGAATGGATCACCTTCCTCTGCCCGCGTTTCCTCTCCAGGCTGAAGAAAAAGCTAGAGGGAGCATCCATCTCTGCGATGTTCTGAACCCGAGACCTGACCAACACGCCTTGGACTTTAGACTCCAGCAGGTTGAGATTTGAGAGCTTCAATATGCCCTCGATTTCCTGTGGAATCACTTAGATGTTCTAGTTCCACTATGTTCATCTCCAGATCTCTAATAGATCTGGTGACATCAAGAGTGACATTAAGAGTGTGCTGCTGACAGAGTTGCTTGATTTGGACTTTTCCATGGTCCCACCACTGCCTTAGACAAGTAAAATCCCCCTTTCTTTGTCTAAAAACAGTCCAAAAATAACTTAGAGCTTCTCTAAAAACATTTCCTAAAAGCAATGAGTGGTCGGTAAAAGCTACTGGTAAAATCTGCACTGTTAGACATGGTTGTAATTTTAACAGTAATTTACCACACATCACACAGTACAAAGCCGCAAAATCAGTGTTCTGGTAATTAACTGTAATTGCCATTGCATCATGGGAATTATGAATCACGTGAAGCATTGTTTATAGTTCACTACCGCAGTATCTCAAATTGTTGTAAGTTACTGTAATTAACGGTTACTTTGGCTCTGATCCTTCTTTCTTTTTAAATTTTAGTTACGCCATCTTTTTTTATTTTATTTTGGCGCTTAGAATGACTAGAACCGCAGGAACAACGAACAGTTTGCCGAGCAACAATTGTAGATTTTGCAAGTCTATCATATCTTGAACCTCCCTGTTGTTTGTTTGCATCAATCAGTGCTTTCTTCTTCCTAGGAATGGATGTTGAATGGATCCAGGAATTTCAGAAAGTGCTGCCAGAGTTGGACCACGAAAAACTGATGACCATTACAGGACACCTTTCATCTGTGGTTGGAGTAACAAAGAAGGAGGACCTTGCTTTTGTGGAGAAGGAAGACTTCCAAGAATATCTGACACCCATACAGTGCCGAAAAGTAATCCAGGCCTTCAAACAAAGAGGTGAGAAATGTATTCCTAAGAGTCTTAAAGAAAATAGTTGAAGACACATTACCGTTAGAGTGTGTCCAAACATGTTTTGATGGAGTAATTGGGTGAGACAGCATTTGATCTACTCAAATACTTTTAAACAAGATTTATCCTATCATCTTTTAGTCTCAGATAGAGGAAATAGACACATGTAACACCTAATTTTCAATAGTATCGTCTGGTTACTGGGGATAGTCACAGGTTAAAAAATTATCCGACAGATATATGTTTTACTTCTTTTTAGTTTTAGTGTCTGTTGATGTCGTTTAATGCATGTGACATTAATATGAATACAAAACTGGTCATCAAACAGCTTCATCCAACATGTGTAAAATGTCTTGTTTATATGGGTTATATATATCATGTTATTTACCTATCATCACTTATAGTGAGTTGGACAACAAAAAAAACAAAAAAAGTGTTTTTCAGTGAGTACTTTTTGTACTGTGCCTTTCCCTCTGTTTGGTTTACACAGAAGCTTCTTTGCATCTGTTTTCTCTTATCTGAGCTCTTATTGATACAGAGAAAAGTTACATTTTCATCTAAAAGTTTTCTGGTCCCTTTGGGTTATATTTGAAATAACGAAAAGGAGCTGTTGTAAATTGTTTGAGCACACATTGAAGTTTTAAACCATTCATAGGTAATTTGTCTAAATATGTATATAGTTAATAAAACAATTGTACGTTCTGGTATATATACTTTTTTGATTAAATGATTTAGACTTATAAAAATGTATTATTGTTTTTTTTTTCTTCTTTAAAGAACTGAATGACAAAGGGACCAGTGAAGTCACCATCACTCTAAGTGAAGAGACGCCTCCCCTTTCATCTGTAGGTGCAGACAGAGGAACTGGTTGGTCCTCCTTCACACCTCATCAGACACAGTCATATTTTCCTGGATCCAGCCTGGCAAAAGCTCAAAACTCTTGGATTCTCCAATTCCAAATACCATGGGAACAGATGCCTGTATCCTTGTCCCAGGCAATCTTGAGAGGGCAGAGGGCTAGCCCAGCAGACAGGAGAGCAATGGTGCGGGTTGTGGTTTCTGCTATGCAGCAACACTGTCCAAACCCTAACAGAGCTGCTTGCATAGAAGGAACAATGCACAGCCAGTCGCTTTTGTTATCCAGGCAGAATTCCCTCCTCTGTGGGAGGACTTTATCCTCTCTTGCCCCGGTAGAGGGGGGTTGGTTTGGTCCCACATGAGTCCCTGAAGGCAAACTGCAGGCGACTCTCATTTTGCTCCCCCATTCATGCGAGATATCAAGATGGACATTGGTTTACCATGTCCAAAAATTCTCCATCATTATTTATACCACTAAGCATGCAGAACTTGAAAGCAACCGTCATTTAATTTGAGTCAAGTGTGTTGCATGGGGACATCTAAAACCTTCAGGATAATGGTTTTCAAGGACAGGAGATGCTGATGTGGAATGCGTTCTGTTATTATTAAACTGAATTGTTAATAGAGTTTAAACTTTGAATATTTTCATTCTTGAATATTTACATTAGCTTGAATAAACATGATTATTCAGCAGTGGAACATAACATGTAGTTGAAACTACTTTAATCTTACTATAAATGGTTATTGGATTGGATATTGCGTCCCGCTCGGTCTTGGCAGGACTTTGTGTGGAGTTTGCATGTTCTCCCCGTGTCTGGTTTCCTCCGGGTGCTCCAATTTCCCCTACCACTAAAAACATGCTCTGCTAGGTTAGGTTAAGTTGGGCAGCGCCTTCCACATCAGCATGGCCTTGTACATCCAAGTTCCCCCGGAATGTTCCAAAATTGTAATTTCCCCAAGGGGATAAATAAAGTGTATATGTATATATATATATATATATATTTCAATCTGAAAAACTCACACAGAGAGAAAAGATAATTAGAATAATTTATTGATAAGAAAGTATAGTCTTTGGCGCTCAGACCTCGGCAGGAACATTCATGCTGAATTATGCTTTAACATGCATGAGTAGATGAATGTGAATAGGGATGATCCCCCCGGGCCTGAAACTGGTGGTGGTTTAATCCGAGCTGGTTGACAAGGTGATCTGCTGGGCAGAATTGTGGGACTAGAAGACTGAGGGAGCTGACGCCGGGGCTTCACTCAGACTCGGGATATAGAGGTCCTGCTCGGTGATGCAGGTACCGTGAACTGTCCATGATGAGCAAGCATGAAGCAACAGTGGAGAGGAAAAACTCCCCTTTGGGAAGAAACCTCTGGCAGAACCGGGCTCAACATGGTGGTCTTCTGCCGGACCAATGCGATGAGACGAGGGATGGTGACAACTGGGATTAATACTCTCTGATGAAGTTGAGGTGAAGTGGTGTCATGGAAGACGATTCGGCTGCGATGGCGGAGAAGGGGATGGAGGTGGGTGAATTGTCGTCTGGATCGAAATCCGACATTGCGATTGCAGGATAGCGGCTGTGGTGAGATTTGAGGGAGTTTATAAAGTGGAAACAGGACGCTGATTGGGCTTCGTTGTGGAGTAGTTCAAAGCTGATTGGCTCGCTTCGGAGACGGATCGGCTTCTGATGATGTGAGGTAAGTCAGAGTTTCTTCAATTGAACTTTCGCTAGAGCTTCATATATATATATATATATATATATATATATATATATATATATATATATATATATATATAATTTTTTTTGTTTCTATTATTATTATTCATACGTTTGTTTTTTTGCTTGTGTTTATTTTGCCATTCATTTTCATCTTGCTTGAAGGTTCTTCTTGAGAATAAATCCAGAAGATGGAACAAAATGCACCGCACGGACTGGAGTGAGTCGGAAGACTGGAGTGTTGGTGAAGCGGAAGACAGCCACTATAAACAACAGAGTGCTGTCCTTTCTTCGCCAGCTAACAGACTTTGAGTGGAAGAACTTGAATTAGGTAAGATTCTTCCCATTAAGATATCTTCAAAATGGATGCTTGTACTGTAGTCTCGGATACTTATACTGATGTTCATTTTCCTTATCCTTTATAGGTTCTGTGTAGCTGCAGCTGAAGACAAATACAATCTCATGAAATGGGGCTACACCCTGTCCAGGTTCATCATCCATTACACACACAAAGAACCACATGCACATTCATTCTTTGCTGGACTGTCATTTAGAATGTAAGCCTGCACCTAACAGTCAATATAAGGTTCATTTGATCAATTTATGTTTATGTAAGGTTCTTCTTTTGTTCCTTTTTGAGTGCAATCAAATTCTTACAAAAGAGGTTGAACGGTTATACTGTTTAATGCTGTTTCTATTGTTTGTTACAACTGTTGTTCTTTGAACTACTGATTTTTATAATATGACTTGAATTTGAATGAATAACAACTTTACTAAATGTTTGAACTGGACGATCTTAAGGAAGTGATTTTGTTACATCTTTTAAGCTCTGAGCAAATGAAAAAAGTATTGTCTATAATAATATGAATTAAATTGAGAATTCTAGCTGAAAGTCACACATTATCTTGTGGGTTTTTTTTACCATTTGTTAGTGTTTTAAATAAAGACCAGAATGTTTTGGAATATATATGTCTGTTTTTGATTTATTATAATTGTTAATAACAAATCAATTAAGCAAAATTAGCAGGCTTATTGAAAAAACTGCTCAACCATTAAAATCAAAGCTATTTTAATTCAGTTGTTAAGAATTTTACATTAAGTCAGTGCATGAAAAATACTATATACAAATCTAAATTAATATATATATATATATATATATATATATATATATATATATATATATATATATATATATATATATACATATACATATATATATATATATATATATATATATATATATATATATATATTAATATATATATATATATATATACTCGTACTCGTTGTCTCCCGCTTTATCCGGAACCGGGTCGCGGGGGCAGCAGACTAAGCAGAGACTCCCAGACTTCCCTCTCCGCAGACACCTCCTCCAGCTCTGCTGGGGGAAGCCCTAGGCGCTCCCAGGCCAGCCGAGAGACGTAGTCTCTCCAGCGTGTCCTGGGCCGTCCCCTGGGCCTCCTCCCAGTGGGACGTGCCTGGAACACCTCCCGAGGGAGGCGTCCAGGTGGCATCCGAAGAAGATGTCCGAGCCACCTCAACTGACTCCTCTCGATGTGGAGAAGAACCGGCTCTACACTGAGCCTCTCCCGAATGACCGAGCTCCTCGCCCTATCTCTAAGGGAGAGCCCAGCCACCCTGCGGAGGAAGCTCATTTCAGCCGCTTGTATCCGGGATCTCGTTCTTTCGGTCATGATCCAAATTTCATGACAATAGGTGAGGGTAGGAACGTAGACCGAACGGTAAATTGAGAGCTTTGCCTTTTCGCTCAGCTCTCTCTTCACCACGACAGACCGGTGCAGCGTCCGCATTACTGCAGCAGCCGCACCGATCCGTCTATCGATCTCCCGCTCCATTCTTCCCTCACTCGTGAACAGGACCCCAAGATACTTGAACTCCTCCACTTGAGGCAGGGACTTTCCTCTGTCGTCTATAATTCTCTTCTTGACGACTTAAAATTGAAGCTAAGTTTTATAAAAATTCAAAGTTCTTAAAAAGCAGAAAAAGACTCAAACAAAGATAAAAAAAATTCAGGCAGGGGCAGCTGAGTCCGGGTCCAGTGTGTTTATTGCTAAACACAACACATTCACACTGAGCTGGTCACCGGTGAGCCGAAGCTGAACAAATGGTGAACACAGCTCCCTTTTATCCATTTCTTATCGGTGGAAAACCCCCTTCAGAACATATTTCAGTCTTTGGTAAAGGTCACATTGATATTTATCTGCAAAACACGGTGACATTCATAGACACATCTCATTCTTGTGAGAGCAATCTCTCAGGCCATGAAAACATCTGGTGCATTCAAATCAGAAACTTATGACGGTTTAGTCACAAACATGTCAGAACACATCTTTCCCTTGCTTCAAGCCATGTCAGTCTAACCTATTGCTCCCCCCTCGTGTCTTAGTCAAAGCATCACCCTTTCTGGGACCATTACCGCTCCGTGTGCCTTGAAAATAACAACTCTTTTTGTATGGCCAAATTTTGCTGAGCTGGGAAACCTTGAGATGTCAAATATTTCATTTTTATTGAGTGTGCTTTCTTATCACTAAGGGGCCTCAACCCTGCGTTGTCCTGCAGACTTCACTCCTATTGGGGCCAGGTCCAACAGTTACACATACTCACTGCTCTGCTTTTCTCCTCTCTGGCCTTGAATGGCTCCATTCATTGCTCTGTTTTTTCTTTTCTTTTTTTGCCTTGAATTGCTCTTATAACAGTATTTGGGAAAACAACTTTAAACTTATAAAACATTAACTTTATTTTATCTTATGATTAGTGCAGATTAATACACAACATTCCCCCCTTTGATCCTAAAAGGATCAATTACGTGATTATGCAGGTGATAACTAATCTAAAACACCTTAAATGTGAACTCACCCAAGTGACAAAAGTTTATATATATATATTGTGCACACTAAACCAAACGTGAGATTAAACACACACCATATAGTAGAAGTGAGTAATATAAGATGTGGTGGTGTCTGAGTAAATATTAAACTAATAAAACGCAGAAAACAGAATATACAAAAACAAAGAGGGATCCCCCTCTTGGCTCCCTTAAGAGGACCCGTCCTCGTTGCTTACTTTTTTTGTAGCAAGATTTTCTAATTCTGTTTTCTCAGCAGAGGCAAATACCAATGCCCAAGCAGCATCTTGTGTTACGAGGTCTCTGCATTTATCCCCTACATTGGTGGTATTTCACACCCATAAATAGACAAACAAAAAAGCTTCATCAGGCCCGGACTATGCGAGGCAAACACATCTTCTAGTGGTCAAAGGACCGTCATTACAACCAACATAGGAGTAACCATGTGGCACTCTCCTGCACAGTAATTGTACTGTCACATAAAGTATACAATCCTACCAATATGTTTAACATAGGTATGCATAATCATCAATAATCAGCATTGTCCTTATATCCAGTTATGGCGTTGAAGTTGATATATTAATAATAATAATAGCCTCCATAATTCTATCCATAATTCTGCCCTCCGTTCGGGCCCCCCTGGGTATAGGGAGCCATATGCTGCAGATCAGAGGTCAGCTGCATCACCTGCTCTTGTAGGTCGATAATGGTCTGCTGTGCATCTCGAAGTTGCACCACCTGCTCTTGTAGGTTGATAATGGTCTGCTGTGCATCCCGAATTTGCTGCCTCAGTTCCAGATTGTCTCGGGTCAGCTGCCAATTCCCAGCCTTTACTTTGCGTTTGTACAGGGTGCGGCGCATCCGTTCAAAGGACCGACGTGGCTCGGGGTGCGCCAGACCCTTCATGAATTGGGCATAAACTGCTGTGGTCATAGAGGTGATTTGAGGCTTAAGGTCAGCGTTGGTATCATAGGACTCCAGCGGATGAGCCAAGAACTTTGCAACATGATGAGCTTCGGCAAGATCAAGCTTTATGTCATCTGCTATGACCATGAACATAGCCAGTACGCCTGGAATGGGTGGTGGCGGATAATTATATTGGTGGGGTGACGGTGGTCGTCGATCCTCGGAATTCTCAGGACTGGCAGGGGTGCTGGTTGGGCCGAAATCGATACTGAGGTTCCCCGGTGATGACGAGATGGACAGTGGCTTCCCAGTAGGTAATGGTGGTTGATCATCAGGCTGCCTGCTGGGTGTCATCATAGGTTTGCTCCAACCCGAAGGTGCACTGCTTGGCCCCTCTGCAGGATCTAGTAGGTGCCTGGGAGGAAGATATGGGCATCCTACCCCTAGTGATGGGCCTAACGACGCCAGTGCAGCTCGTAAATTCATTTGGTTTTCTTCATATTCATCATAACTAGCCTCTGCCATGTTCAATAATCTACCTGTGGGGACATAGTATGGCAAATTTAGGCATCATCTGAAGGCATATTATCTCTTATATCTATGGATTATTCAGCATGCAAGTTGCTATATCTACGTGAGTAAGTATATAAGTCATTGTTATGCAAAATATTTATATATATACACTGTTATTATTAAAGAAATGCACGTACCTGGTGAGGGTGGAAGGTGATCATGGTTATGTTTTATATCTCTTGGTCCAATTGTATCTCTACAACTGGGAACTGACCAGTTACACTTACAACAAGTCTTGAGACCAGTCCCCGAACAAGGGGTATGATGCAACACATAACTATCAATATAATCAGTATTACTGCCCCTAGAATCATTCCTGCTGCCTCAAGATATTTTCCCCATCCAAGCTTGTGAAACCAATCCCAGAATCCCTTCAGCTGAGTGTTCCAATTAGACTGCAGCACATGTTCATCCCTCATTCGTTTCATTTCCTGTAGGACTCCTGTGAGGCTACCATTTACATCTGTGTGCATGGGGATTAAAGTACAACAATCTTCCCCTATATAATCACATATTCCTTGGTCTCCAGCCATGCGGGATTCTAGCACGAACCTATGTTGTAGAACCATTAGTGAAGTTGCATGCAATTGTTCCTTTACCAAATCCAGGCCGTTTATTGTAAAGTTTATAAATCTTTGTTGATTATACCATAGGAGATTCACCCATCTACTATTTCGAGCTATGTACTGCGCATTGGCAATAGTTCCCCAAATTGGCACCGCAACAGCCACTCTTCCGCTTTCTATCCAATCACTCCCTATGGCAACCTGGTCTTTAGGTACTCCATATGGGATCTGATCCCAAGAAATATATACCTCATCTGATCTCTTCCACTCATGTTTAGGGGGAGTACTTCTTTTAGCGCGGTTGGGTATCTCATTAGATGTTACATTTGTACTTATTAGGTTATTTACTATTAACTTGAGTTGTCCTGTCAGCATTACTGGTGCACAGATGCCTTCCCACTGAGGGGGTAATGTGGCCAACATTTGTGTCTCATTATGGTACATCCAAAAAATGTCACCTAAGGGGACAGATCCCCTCGCCAGGCTCAGTATTCGATACTGAGATACACTTGAAGGTTGGAACTCATAGATGACATGTCCCCCATCTGGTACTACTTGTTCACAGCGTATGGTGGCATTGGGACTCGTTTGACAAAACTTAATGTGGTAGGTGAGGTTCCCTTCTGCTGTTGGTGGGTACCATGTCCTATTACTACATGTAACCAGTCTATCCGTTGTCCACATCTGTCTAGAGGATCTATTAGTCACTGTTTCCAGTTCTTTCCCTCGGGCTATACAAAACAGAAAAATCAGTTCAGCCGGTTTTTGTACTACTGGTGGAAGAGAGAAAGTGCTCATTACATCATTTATTGAGGAGTTCAGCGCTCTGGGGCATATCGTGTGGTCTTTTGATAATGATGCAAGACCTCCGGCCATCTGCATGGCACAGTGGGCAAAGCACTCCGTTACATCAGGGCAGTCGCCTATTTTACTTCCGGGAATAATCTGAAGGGCTGGTCATTTTTTAGCATTATAGCAGGCTATACAATCATCTTTAGGGCGCTTTTTGGCTTTGAACATTGCCTGGACAGAGTACTGAATCCATTGTTGGAACATATTGGTTTCCCAGTGTGCAGTCTTTAATTTGTCTAGATCTCTTTTCTGCCTTTTGTTTACCAATTTTACCATTCTATGCGCTTTCCCTACCGTCATTACCTGCTCTGTTAATGTGTTTTGGCATATGTTCATTTTGCATCTTACCTCAATGATCTCCATCCCATCCTCACGGCAGTCCATGCTTTGTGGAACTCCAAGCCAATGTTTCCCCATTGAGTTACCTAAAATTTCTTCAGACATTACATAATCATATCTTTGATTTGCACATGCATTAGTGATACATTTTCTCCATCATTATTATTGATTACCCCTTGGTTAGTAGCTAGTGTTACCATTGCTAGTGCACATGTTTGTGTGTGACGCATTAAATGTGTGTGTGCACTGTTAGTATTAATTTTCATAAGATCCCCCCTTGTTAACCCACAAAAGGTTAACACAACAAGAAAGTTAATCAAAGTCTGAAGAAGGCGCATACGGGAGACACCCAGACGGCGATGGGGTGGGCGGGACCGAGTGGATCGGCGGCCCACTTGCTTCGGAGGAGGAAGGGGAAAGGGAGGGGATGAGAGGGAAAGGTGCAGGTGAGGGATGTTAAGGGGACAGGACTCCACCAGCATCTGATGGGCCAGAAGAAAGAAGTTCGTCCAGTGCCTGAACGACGGATGGATCTGGGTGAGACCCAGAAGAAGTCTCAGTGGCAGAAGGGTCGGGTACCTGCGGGTCCCCGACGGGTCACCCGCTAAAATGCTCTTTTGCGGGTGAAAAATACATAAATAAAAATAAACGGGTCGGGCGCATATTTTTTTAGTGTGGGCGGGTAGTGTGATTTTTTTTATGGGTGTGTGTTGTTATGGACATCAGAGGTGTTAAATTAATCAGGCACTGGGGTCACCCTCGTTGTAGCTTAAAGCCCTGCCGGCAGTGGGGGCTTCCCTCCAAAAAGGCCACAGTCAGTGCATACACGTCTGCTGCAGTGTTAATGGCGCTGTTCTGCAGCGCAGCGTACTATAGCCTATTACTTGATGTGTTAACGGGTCGGGTTGCGGGTTAAATATCAACGGGTCGGGTCGGGTTTGGATTTGAATTGAAGATATCCGCGGGTGACGGGTCGGGTTCGGTAGTCATCCTAACGGGTTCGGGTGTTTAAAACTCGAACCGTGCAGGACTCTACCTGGAGACCCTGATGGAGGACCATCTCAGCCATCCTTCCATCCTTCAGCAGGAGGAGGTGTAGCTCAAAGACATCAAAGAAAGTGATCAGAGCTCATCTGAGCTCATCTGGAAGGAACCAGGAAGAGCTTCAACAAAACAAACCAGAATAAAGGGGCAGAATAATCCCCTCTGATTGGTTAATTAACACATCAGTCGTCCACCTGATGTGTTGAGGACCAGCTGCTCTGCAGACCACCCTTTGAACCTCGTTCAAAATGTCGCCTGTATAAGGGACCAACATCAACAGAAAGATGAAGACGCCCACCTGAAGATGTCTGACATCAGCTTTGGCTTCTAGACTATTTAATTATACAATATGAATGAGAAGGGAAATATGTTGTAATGGGTTGTATTTTAATGAAAGGTGAACATTTTTAGTATCTAAGTGTTTGATATTGTTTGTTAATACAAATAAAGTCCAAGTGTTAGATGACCATAATGGCTGATGGTCAGTATTGGCAGAGATTTCTGGATTAGAGAATGAACTCTGATGATCGGGTCATCTCAGCTACCATTGGGGAAGAGGAGCGCTGAGATTAAATCCTCCAACTTTTCAATGTGTGCTTTGACTGACCCTGATTCTGAAGAGCTGAACTCGTCATCTGCGTGAAACATCTTTGTCTTATGATTTTAACATTTTGCATAAAGATTGATCCTTTTTTTACTTTTATTGAAGCTCAGATTAATAATTTGACTTACACTTTGTAGAGATGAAGGGGTCTATTGTTTTGACTGATTTGAACTTTTCTCTTTCCAGGTAAACAAAAATGGTAACTGATAATGATACGAATTAAACATTTAAATTCTCAACAAATAGATATTTTACCATAAAAGTATCATCATGGGGAAAAACAGTAAATATTTTTGCCAATATTGTGATTCCAGGGCTCTATTTATTGGCAACATATTTTAGCTATCATGATCTTTTCCATAATTTTTCCATCTATTATAATAATTTTATTTGTCCACTGACTTAATGCAGATGTGCATTTTTGATATACATGTTTCATTAATATTTTTAATTTCAGTTTCTTATTTGTACCTTTCTTTACATATATACACAATTTTTTTTGGTTTTAGTTTTCTTTATATATATTTACAGTTTTAGTTAGTTTTAGTTGTTTATATTCATTATTTTCCCATTTCTAATATCGATTACAAAAGGATAATATCCTTCTATAATCGAAAGGGTGGACTGCTGTTAGAAAATTTAGATTTCTCTTTTAATTATATATTAATTTATCCTGTTTACTCACTATAAAATTTTTCACTCAGTCTGTTTCACTTTCAAGGCCAGACCATTGTATATAGGATAATTAAATATCAATAAAAATAAATATCTAAGCCTACACTTGTATTTTCAAAGCAGGAAGTCGGTGCATGACGTAGCCCTTTTCTCTCGATGTGTTTTTACTGTAAAGTCTCTAATACACTTGAAATGTTGCAGCAGCTTTCTTTAAACCAGGGGAGGAAGGGGTTTAACTGGAGCAAATGTCTGAATATCCAACTTAAAACTAACTTCACCGCAGGTTTTTTAACCCAACAACGTGAACTCACTATCAACTGGAAGTTAGCATTAGCTTAGCATGTTGATCTCCTCTAAGCAGTTTTCCAATCAGATGAGGCTAAAATCCACAGTGTGCATCATCAGGGAATCGTTTCTATCAGGTGTTTCCTACCTATCCGGTGTAAGATGATCTGGGGGATCCTGGTGAAATCCAGCAGTAGATGTTGATCGTCCATCTTTTCCTCCGAATTGACCAAACTCCCTTTAAACTCCGTGAATGTTTCTTCAGCAGGAGTTAACTGCTCGGTGATAAACTCTCCTTGAAGCTGGACTGAAGACATTCTCACTGCAAACACTCCCAGATTATCAGCCTCTCTACAATGACTCCACACACAAGCTAAGCTAATGCTGCTAATGCTACCCGATCCGTACCAGCAGCTCATTGCGCATGCGCAGCTACATCTACATCCGGGTCACCCTCGATTTTAATTTGTAAAAAAGACCTAAATTATGTTTTCCCTCCCTAAAATAGTAAGCATACTTAACTATAATATATTAAAGTTTAATAATGTATTTCCTGAGAATAAATGTCTTACAATTCTTTCTGTTTTATCGCTCGACCGGAAATGACATCACTGATCTTTTTTTTTTTTTTTTTTTTTTTCAGCAAACATTTACATGAAAAAATACTCAGAGAGGATAACAAATATAACATGAACAGATAAAGATCAATTACAAGAAAAACAAATAAGTAAAACACTTAACAGGGGATTTATCTCAGCAAACAATTAAAACAAACATAGACAGAGTCATAGAAATAATAGAAACAAAAAGGTGAATGCACTTAAAATAGCAGATGTTTGGAGAAATCCAGTCTCAATTGTTTGGCATATTTGTCATTTTTTCTTCTTAAGAGAAGAAAAATAGATTTTAAAGTTATTCATAAACCAATTAAAAGAAGGTTTAGAATTTCTCCATTTAGCACAGTGGGGTTGATATTTACCGATCAGCAGGAGGACATTAATAGTGTAAGAAAAAGGCTGGGGAAGATGGTCCATATAAAAAATAACATCATTTAGTGCAAAAGGGGGATATCATTAATTTTTAAAGATATCCAGTCTTTCAAGTCTTTCCAGAAGCGGTGTGTAGCGGGACAGAGGTAAAACATATGTTCAACGGTTTCACTATTATTATTACAACAAAAAGAACATTGATCCTCCTCAAAACCAAATCTTTTTCTTAAAAATTCTGCCACAGGATAAATTTTGTTAATAACTTTAAAATGTGTTTCTTTGACTTTAGGTAAAATAGGCCATTTAACAAATTCTGAGAAAGCTTTATCAACTATATCTGAGTTAACAGAAATATCTCTCTTCCAAGTAAATCTATCATAATCAAGAAATTTTCTGGCTTTCAAAAAACTGTTAATACATTTCTTATTGCATTTTTTATCAAGCAAATTACATTGTGAAATCAACAATCTGGGCAGTATTGGTGGCTAATTATTATATAACCTAGAGTTTTTTATCAATTGAATTAAAGGCAGTGGAATCGATTTACACAGTTTGTTATATTCTGTTATACTTAACATGATATTTTTCTAAAAAATCTGAATAATTTATAATATCGCTGTTATCATCCAATAAATCAGTAACATAAATAATGTTTTTGTTAAACCATTCCTTTTTGAAAATAGATTTGCGATTAATTGTTATTACCCTATTGTTCCATAGAGTTGAGCTATGGGGAGAAAAGCTATGGGTGAAAATCATTTTCCAATAATGAAAAAATCTGCTTGTGGAAGTTGGACAGCTTGATTGGAATCCTGTTTATCTCAAAGTCACATTTTAGAATAAAGTCTAAATCTCCTAATTTATCAAATAATGATCTTGGAATGTGATACCACATAGAATTCGGGTGCAGCATATAAGATTTGATCCAGTTAATTCGGAAGGTGCCAACCATTCATTCAATATGGAAATAGTACTTAAGGCTTTATCTATCATTGATTTATCTTTTAGAAAGATACAGGTATCATCAGCAAATTGGCTTATTCTAAATTCTCTATCAAAAATTGTGATACCTTGTATGTGATTTGAGTTTTTAATTAACAAAGCTAGCAGTTGTGTAGCTAAGATGAAAAGCTTTGGGGAAATGGGACAACCCTGTCTGATTCCACATGAAATCTCAAATGCAGGCATTAATCCCGGGTTTAGAGAGATCATGCTACTGATGTCAGTGTAAAGCATTTTAACTATGCCACAGAATTTGCTTCCAAAACCAAGGAAGTGTAAAGTTTCAAGCAAAAAGGAATGTTCAAGTGAGTCAAAGGCTTTGAAAAAGTCGAAGAATAATATGTAGGTATTTGTAGGAATAAAGTCTCTATAATCTAACAGGTCAATAATTAGTCTAATATGGTTATGTACATATAGTGGGTCTAGAAATTAATGTTTTACTAAAACAGACACCCCCATTTTTTTTAAAAAGATTATTTTTTTTAAGATGATTAGAACAACTTTCTAAAATTAACTGACTCATGTCGATGACCAGCTAGTCAGTAGAGGGCGCTAGTGAATGAACAAACGAGGAAACTTCTATAGTCTCTGCCCGCGCATGCGCCGTCAATAATAAACCGCTGCCAGCAGAGCCAGGCACAACGTATTAACGTGTCCGTTCCTCATCATTCACAGGTACTATTTATAACTATTCCTAAACATTCTTAAAGATGTTGAAAGTAATGTGAACTCTCTGTGACATGATAGTAACGTGTTGAGAGGACTTGATCCGAGTTCTGATAAGTATTTGTTTTGTTTTGTCGAGTCGAATAACGGCAACCGCCAGTAGTTCTTTAACGGCTGATTACAGAGAGCACACGGGACGTACAGATGTGTATGTGAAAGAGAATATAGTATCTGTTTTATGTTTACTTTCTGTATCTGAGCCAATGGCTGAAGGTATGAATGGGCATTAGATTTATTACTGTCTTTGGTGATGGGAAGTTATTATTTTGATGAATAGTAAGTTTATTTTGCAATGAAAGACATATACACTCAGAGACAGACACATGTAATGGGTTATTATGTCGCACTTTATTTTATTTTACAAGAGTATTTGTTTGTCGTTTTATGTTTACTTTTTGCATCTTAGCCAATGGCTGAAGGTATGAATGGGCATTAGATTTATTACTCTTTGGTGATGGGAAGTTATTATTTTGATGAATATTAAGTTTATTTTGCAATAAAAGACATATACACTCAGAGACAGACACATGTAATGGGTTATTATGTTGCACTTTATTTTATTTTACAAGAGTTTTTGTTTGTATTACTCAGGTTATTAACAATATTATAAACCAAGAGGTCAATTGTATTTTTAGCTGTTTTGAAGTTAAAACCTATGACAGTGTATTTTGACATGAATACTATCCCCATGTTAGGATGTTTTGTGATATTCTCAAAGCAAGGATATTTTGATATTTTTGTTTAAATGGAATGACTGAATGTTTAAGATTGTTGTAGTCAATAATAAACCGCTGCCAGCAGAGCCAGGCACAACGTATTAACGTGTCCGTTCCTCATCATTCACAGATCCACAGCGCATCCTGCCTGTGCATCGCTTGTGCCGGCCCAGATTTCCCCTAGGTCTGAGGCCGGTAACATATAACTCTACCTTTCACAAAGGCTGATTGACACTCATCCACTGATTTTGATAATCCCTTATCCAATCTATTAGAGTAGATGTGAGCTAGCAATTTATAGTCGTTGCATAGTAGTGTTATTGGTCTCCAATTATCTTAAAACAATTTATCTTTATTGGGCTTTGGAATTAGGGTTAGAACACCTCTTTTCATTGTAGGGGACAGCTGACCCGATGAGATACATTCAAGCAGGGAATTATAAAGCAGTAGTCTGATATCGTTCCAAAAATGGATATAAAACTCTACTGTTAATCCATCCAGCCCAGGGGATTTTCCTTTTGACATTTTTGTAATTGCTAAATCTAGCTCTTTTGAGGTTGTCATCCATAAGTTGCTTAAAATGACCATCAATTTTTTCCCTATATTTCCCAATTTTTTCAAAAAATATTTGACAGTGTTCTACTGAAAATTTGGTTGTATATAGTTTTTTATAAAAGTTTCTTATTTCCTCGTTAACTTTATCTTGGTTACCAATACTTATATTATCAATAAGTAATCTATTATTTTCTTTTCAGCTTGTCTTTGTTTTTCCAAATTAAAGAAATAGGAAGTATTTTGTTCACCTTCTTCAAGCCAACGGGCTTTAGAGCGTATAAATGCTCCCTTTGCTTTCTCTAAATAAAGATTGTCCATTTGAGTTTGAAGACTATTAAATTCAGCTTTTTCCTCTAAAGATAAGTCTGTTTTACCCAATATGTTCATATTGTTTATAAGGTCCTGTTGTTTTTTCTTTTTCATTTTAGAGATATTTTTACTCCTAAGAATGGCAATATCTTTAATTTAGAATTTAAACCACTCCCACTTATTTAAATGAGACATTTCTAATTTTTCTATTTCAATCAGTAGATTTTTAGTTTCGTTACAGAATTCCTCATTATCTAAAAGGCTGTTATTAAATTTCCATAAAGAAAATGGAACCGTCTTTGTCCTGCCAAAGTGGAAGGAAATTAAAATGCCACAGTGGTCAGTTAAGGGTGATGCTAATATTTCACAATTATGGACTGCATTTATCAGGTTGGTAGAAATTAACCAATAGTCTAACCGTGAACATTGGCCATTATTGGCTGAATTATGCCATGTGTATTGTTTAGTATTAGGCTGTTTCATTCTCCAGTAGTCAATCAGATCTGTTTTCATGATGAATTCCCTTATAATTTCGTCATAAGAGTGGCTTAGAAAACTCGATGGAAATCGATCCAACCAGAGGTCGGGAACCAAATTAAAATCACCCCCAGAAATAACTTTGTCAGTAGAATAGGCCATTTTCCATTCTTCCACCGTCTTACTCAAGGAGGCATAAAGATGTTTGTTTTGTAACCTTCTGTTATACCCGTAAACACAGATTAATATATAGTTTACATCATTAAATTCAATCACCATCATTATCCAGTGACCATTGATGTCACTGATGTGGTTTATCACTTTTCCAGAAAACCTGTTGAACATAATCATTACTCCAGCTGAGTGTGAAGTGCCATAGCTGAAAAAAAAACTGTCTCCCCATTGCTGTTTCCAGAATTTTGTATCTG